ACTTGGTTTTTGTTAGAGAGAGAATTGTATTTAGTGTAGGTTTAAATTTAAAAAAGCAAGTAATTAATATGAGGTATTTAATTCCCAATGTGTATTTTTTTCAGTAAATAGAAGTTACCATTAAGCACACTCTTTGCCAGATTAGCAAAAGAGTCTCGAAAATACAGAGGCCAAAAATGCCCACACTTTCTTACAGAAAATCAAAAAGGAATAGAAGGAAACTAGAAGACACCTAGATTACATTTCTATAACTAGGGATCTTCATAAACTCTTCGTTATAGAAAGAATTTCCACAGCCATACAGTCAGACCTCTTCTCTAAATGCATCAGCAAGGACATCCGGAGTCTAGGGATTATCACCTAAACATCGATGACATCTTTCTTTCCATATGAAACACAGCCCCCAGCACCAAAGAGAATAGTCAATCAGGTCAACATTACTCCATCTCAAAGCTTTCCCAACAAACATCGCAAGCATATCATTCCACGCCAATGGAAGAGAGACAACAGTCTTGAGAATTGCAGCAGCAAAGGCACTTGTATAAGAACATTCACAGAACTGTTGCTGCCTAGACTCTGCAGCAGTAGTACAAAGAGGACAAATATCAATAGTGATCACCCCCAACCCTTTAGCTTATCACGAGTGGAAATCCGATCAAGTAAGATTAACCAGATGATAAAACATTTACGTGGAAGAATGAACTTTCCTCATATAATCCGCCACCATGGTTGCTCAGGTTTTTTTGATTCTGATAGCGTCCCAAATTAAAGAGATAGAAAACTTAATCATCTTTCTCCCCGGCCAAGACACACAACCATCAATATCAACAACCATTCGAAACTGAAACCAAGGACGAAGCTTCAAGAGTTGCCTCCATATCCAAGAGCCAGAAGAGGTTAGTCTGACATCCCAAATAGAGATGCTCCTCAGCCTATAACGAGTAAACTAGGTCACCCAAAAACTTCCTCCTTGGACAAGCAAAAGCCAGATCAATCTAGGAAGGCAGACAACATTCCATGAGTTCAGATCTTTCAAACCAATTCCCCTTCCCTCTTAGGTTAAGCAATAGAATCCCAAGATACCTTAGCCCGACTAGAACCATCCCCATGCCAAAGAAAGTTGGAGCAAATTTTCTGAATGGACTTGATTTTTTTGAAGAATGAAAACCGCCATCCAATAATGAACCAGAGCATAAAGGAAAGATCCTATTAATTGAATCTTGCCATCATAAGAAAGCTTTTGAGCCCTCCAACCTCTAATGCGACTTGTCAGTTTGTCAATCAAAATAGAACATTCAACACTAGACAATTTTCTAGAAATCAAAGGTAATCCTAGATAACGAACTGGAAGCTGACCTTCTTTAAACTCACACACTTGCAGAGCATTTAGCTTGAACTGATGAGCATAGCCACCGAAAAATACTTCACATTTTTCAGGGTTGCACTGTAGGCCAGAAAGCTTATAAAACTGATCAAGAATTCTTCTGACCCCACTCAAAGCCAAACCAGAACATCCTGAGAAAATTAATAGGTCATCAACGAAGCTGAGATGTGTGAGCCCAAGCGGTTTACATTGAGGGTGGTAAAGGATGTCTCCAATGCTAGCTGCTTGATAAGCCGTTAATTGCACATGTTTTTACCCCTATTCTGGAGCCGTTTGAGATGGTAATTCTCGTGTTTTAGGCCGATTTCACGCTAGGTTGTGTTTGTTTGTGATATTTCAGGTCCTAGCAAGTGAATAAAGGTTTTGGAGCGAGTTCGGGGTCGATTGGACGAAGATCGGGCGCTAGGCAAGTCGAAAAGGAAGCCACACGGGCACACCCACAACTCACACGGCCGTGCAAGTGACCACTTTGGCCGTGTGAGATTGTGCGAGCCTTCACACGGCTTGCCCTGATATCCACACGGCCGTGTGAAGGAGTGCTTTGGCCGTGTGGAATTCTGCGAGGCTTCACACGGCCAGGCATGGCAATCCACACGGCCGTGTGACCCTGGCCGTGTAGGTTGACTGAAGTGCAATTAATCGGAACGCAGCGTTTTGAGTCACACGGGCAACTGGGCATGCCACACGGCCGTGTGGCCCAGCCCGTGTGAGTCGGGAATTCCTGGTTTTAACCCAATTTCGGGCTGCAAGAGAGAGGATCAGACTGTTTGAGCAAAAACAGAGCCCTAGAGAGAGAAAGTACGAAGAACACATCCTAGAAGCTATCTTGGAGCTGGGTTTCATCAAATCAAGCTTGGAGATAGTCATAGGAGTGGAAATCATCATCCCAGAGCAGATTCTTCCCATTGTAATGAGTATGACTGCTTTGTACCTTGTTTTCCTCTCTCTCTCTCTCTCTCTATGGAGTAGAACCCCTCTCTCACTTGGGGATGAAGAACCCTAGTTCTATGTGTTAGGGATTGATTGTAATGACTTGGGATGATATTACTGTTTGATTTTAATTGAATGATGCATGTGTATTGAGTCAATTGAAGTCTGATCAACTTTTCCTGATTCCTGCTGCAATCTGAGATAGATAGAATCTGATTAGGTTGCTAGAGTCTCATCATTCGGTAGTAGGAGATTGGCTATACGAGAGTTAGCCAGTTTACTGCTTTGTACTGGAATCCAATTCCAGTAGTGGAGTTCTGTTCTTATTGCTTCAGCTTTCTATCCCGGTGAAGACTAGTCGTCTACCGAGTAGTCAGACCGAGAGGGCTTGGTCAGCTTCAGAGATTCCAAGCTACTGTCGGATCTTCCATAGTCTAATCAATAGTAAATCAACCCAGGGAAATACAATTGAAACCTAACTAAGGAGCTAGGGGGACTCATTCCCGAGTGACTCTTACCTGCTTGAGAAAACCGTACCAATTCCTGCTTTCTTTCTGCTTTTGCTTTTAAACAACAATCACTTACTTTAGTTGGCTAGATAATAGATAATCATTGAGTAAGCAGTAGATCTAGACCCCGGGTTGATAATATCACTTGTCAATTTACTGCATTCCCGGTCTGCGATTACACTTGGTCGCAGATTGGTGTTGTGTTTTAGAGCATCACTGCTCTACTCAACAAGCCAGTAAGAGGTTTCATTGCAATCGTAAAGAGGTATGGGGAGAGAGGATCTCCCTACCTCGCCCCCTTCACAGCTCCAAAAAATCCAAACAGGCTACCATTCACAGTAATGCTGGAGCAAGCAGACTTCAGACAGAGAGTAATCCATTTTATAAAAGTTTCAGGGAATCCATCAACTACATCACACAAATCAGATAGCCCCAGTGCACAAAATCAAAAGCTTTCTTTAAGTCTACCTTGATAGCAGCCCTAGAGGATATGATTCTCCTATTGTAATTCTGGACAATTTCCTAAGCCATAAGGATATTCTCTAGAATACTTCGACCTTGAATAAACGCTGATTGATTTCTGCTAATAACAGAAGGAAGCACTTTCTTCAACCTATTTGCAAGAACTTTTGATATAATTTTGTAAATAACGTTTATGCAAGCAATAGGTCTAAAGGGAGCGAGCCTATCTACATTTGGAATCTTTGAAACTAATGTCAACGAAGCAGAATTCATACCTCTAGGAAGCCGACATTCTTGAAAGAAAAGCTGGATACCTTTTGTTATATCAGGGCCAATCACCCCCAACATTTCAGAAAGAATCCCGCTGTCCAACAATCCGGGCCAGGAGCCTTCGTTGGATTTATATCAAATAAAGCCTGTTTAATCTCCTCTCCCGACACCAGTGCACACAGGCTAAGTCTATCAGCATTTGTCAACCACTCCATTAAGTAAGTATCAATGAGATCACGATCAACAACCACTTCCTTATTAGCGATTCCAAACAGATCTTTATAAAAATAATCTACCTCATCAGTGATAGCCTGCATATCAGTCAATTCTTCATCATTGTGAGAAATAAATTTCTTATTTTCTTCCTGGCACTACGGATACGAGCAGACTTGTGAAAGAAGCCAGAGTTAGAGTCTCCCAATGTAAGCCAAATAATACGAGACTTCCGACGAAAGAATGCCTCCTCATCCTTTTGCAGCTGCAAATAATCTCTAGAGATAACTCTAACCTCTGCAAAGATTGCCTCAGAAGGATCCTGCAGGGCTTGTGATTGTTTAGCTGTCAGTTATGCTTGCTTGTTCTTGACTCTTGCGGAAATATAAGAGAACTCGGTCTTATTTAACTTCCTGTGCAGATTTCAGAAGATATAACTTCTGCTTCATCCCAAATAATCCAGTCCCCTGTACCTCTTGATTCTAACTCTCTTCCAGCAAAGAAGGAAAGGATTCATGTTCATACCACATGTCAAAAAATCGAAAAGGCTTTGGAGAAGTTTTTTCAGACACATGGAACAACAACAATTCCATAGTGATCAGAGAAGTCATGAGCAAAATATTCCACTACACACTATGAGAATTGTTTCAACCAATCAACATTAACCATAAACCTATCAAGTTTTCGAGCAATGAGGTTACCCTGCTGCTGATTGGTCCAAGTAAATATAGGGCCCGAAGCCTGATGGTCTACCGACTCCATCTGTTCAACCCATTCTCTGAAAGAAGTCATACTGCTAGAGATAGGAACCACATTTGAAGCTTCAGTTGGATCAAGGATGGCATTGAAATCACCCCCAACAACCCAAGGAGCCCCCTGAACCTTCCAATGACTCATATCCTTGTAAGAGATAAGCCTGTCTTTTTCATCATTTGAGCCATACACCACTGTGTAAAAGAATTGTCCTCCTTGCTTCATTGAGACAACAAAATGCATAAAAGTCTCTTCCTCAGTTAATACTGTCAGCTTGACATCATCATTCCACGCAAGCCAAATCCTCCCCAGTTTATTTTTTGAGTAATTATCTACGAACTGATACTGAGCAAACTTCCCCTATATCCTCAATTTTTTGTTTGTTTTGCACCATGGTTTCAAGTAAAGCAAAAATAAAAACATTGTGAATCCGAAGGTAGTGAAGCACTGCATTGTGCTTCAAAAGGGGCGATTAAAGCTCCTTGTGTTCCAGTTTATGTTACACCCCATTTTCTCCTAAGAAAAAAATGACGATCTTGCCCTTAATAAAATTGTCAAATTCCACTGGAATACGATGAGAACTAAAAATGGGAACTACCGGATCAAGCGGTGTCAAATTTGGACATAAAATAAGAAAATTGCGGACGTTAATTGAGTTTCGGATTAAACTCACCCGTAATTGTGAAATTCCCAAAATACTCTTTGACTAATTAAACCCTAGACCCCTTACTTTAACCCATTCGGCCTCACCCTAAAAATTAATAAAACCCAGTGTGCAAAGGAAGAACCCAGCCGCACAAGCAAAAACCCCAGTCCCTTTCGCTTTCTTCCCTCCCGCCCAGCCTTCTCCCTATGGGTATCGAGCTTTGATCCGAAATCAATATTTGGCTGAATGGAAAAGATGGCTTGAAAACATTCGTGATGGATACAAAGGCTTGGTGGCGGAGGAACTACTTGGACCGGGGGGAGATGCACCCAGCTATTCGATGGCCGCGGGAGATTGCAATCAGCCAATACCATGGACGAGGACATGACCACCATAAGCTAGCACCGCTGCTTACGCTAGAGTAAGTAATTCGATCCATTGTCTAGCTTAAATAATTGGATAGGAGAGGTCAGTTCTTGTGGGTTTTTCATTGTGCGATCCGGCTGTTGTTTTTAATGAAAGGGATATGCATCACAGGCTTGGCTTAACCGTGTAAATGGACTTTTCAAGTAGTCAAGTTGATTTGAGATAGGGCAATGGGGAAGAAATATTCAATGAAGGGAGTACGGTTGGTGTTTGCTACAAAGAATACATGGATGAATGAATTCATCACGGGTAGAAGGGAAGCAATTCTGAGTTGGCATGCATAAAGGAACGTGTAAGGGAGCATGGAATGGATGGAGCATACGTGGAGGTTATTGAGGGAGTTCAGCATGTTGTTGATAAAGAGGAAAAGGAGTCATCATACATCGTTGTTAAAGGGATCTCAGAGACCAGAATTCAAGATAAAATGGTGGTGGCATTTGAGTTGTTAAAGTCATCATACAACAACTTGAGGTGATTTGAAGTGATTTTGTGCTATTTACCGTAAAGCGTTATGTTATGAGCTATTTTTAAAGTTTAAGAAACAAGTTCTTTTTTAAGAAGTAACTCACTTTCAAGAAGGTGAAGTCATTTTAAGTGTTTTTAGTCGCTAGCGCCAGTCCGTTGCCATTTGAGATTTTCAGATAGAGCAGCAGTTATGCTCTTGAGATCTTTGAGACAGAGCTGCAGTTATGCTCTTGAGATATTTAAGTTGAGCAGCAGTTATGCTCTTGAGATTTTTAAGATGAGCAGCAGTTATGCTCTTGAGAATCGTGGAAGAAGAGCCTTCCACGATAAGTTTAAGTTTAAGGAAAGCCTTGGTGGCTTCTCATACGTATGAGTTGGCAACCGTACTAGCTAGTGAGGGATCCTCGTGTCAGTTAAGAATATTAAGTGGAGATTTGAGCTTTAAGAATATAGTATTAAGAGTTAAGATTTTTAATAGTGGAAGTGCAAAACAACTTCCACTAAGTTAAGTAAAGTGATCAAGTATTAATAAGGTGTTAACGTAAGGGCGTAGACTGACCACATCTCACTCACCAGTTTGAAGAGCTAGAGGAACAGTTAGTGAGCAACGAGTTCGAGGGCAGCCAGCTAGAGGAGAGCAGTATAAGCATCACGGAGGATGCTTAGTCAAGATTTTCAGTAGCAACAACAGAGATTATCGGTTACTTACATTTATGATTATGAGTATAGATTGGAGATCACTTTGAGATTTTAAGTATTGAGTTTGCCCATGTGTTAGGGCGTTGCTTTGAACTACAAGTGTGTGTTTTCAGTATTTTATTTATGAAAATTTTTCCCGATGCAATTTAAGATTTGAGTATTTTATTTATCAAAGGCATTTTAGTAAAATTATTACCCGGCCGGGTTAGAGTGTTACAGTTTAGCAGTTTCATTTACGAGAAGCAACCGCCTTAGTGGTTCCCCATTACTTCGAAGGCCCTCTATTCCTCCTTTATTAGGAGGGGCTCTCAACTTAAAATCACGTTGGCCACACAGAAGATCAAAAGAATTTGAATGCAGAATAGGAGTAGGGACTTTCAGTGCAGACCTTGGTTTGGCACCATTTATCACTCTGTTGAATTCCTCATGTGAGGGCAAGGCACTTAGGGGTACAGGAGGGGTAGTGTCCGCAACAACTTTCTTGTCCTTGATGGCAACCTTATCCTCTTCCAGACCTTGGACAACCGCATTCACTGTATCCTCTTCCGTAAGCTTGACAACCTCACTCGTTTGTGAACATTCAATCTCATTATGCTCTAACAAAGGAACTCTTTGGGCTGCTTTCATCACCATACTCGTTTTGTATTAGTCCATGGGGGAGGAAGTGAACAATCATGCCCAAAAACTCCTCAATAAGCACAACAATGAGGCAGACCACAATACTGAAGACCAATGAAGAATTCAGACATATTATTAGGTGTAACACTAATTTTATCAATCCGAGGTTTCCTGGCACTGACCTCAACACATATGCGAACTACACCTACCTTCTCCCGCTTAGAAGTAGAATGATCCATACAAAGAGGCTTATCAATTGAGCTACCAATACGACCCAGTCCTTCTCTTATCATTTCAACAGGTAGACCAAATAACTTGATCCATACCAGAACAACTAAATTGTCAATCTCCAACGCTCGGATTCCCGGAGCCCAGCGTCGAAGACAAATGATCTTCTCCCGATAGTGCCATGGTCCTCCCTCAAAAACCCAGCGACAGGTCACCTCTGACGAAAATTGAAAGAGTACCAACTTATTTTCTAAGAGCGAGACCTTCACCTCCCCATCACGACTCCAGATCCAGTTTGCCCAGAATCACAAAGCCGAAAGAGAAGGCGGAGCCACCTAGAACTGAATGACGAGAGTGTGCTCCCACTTCTTCGCACCCTCCTCGACAACCGATTTGAGAATCCGAAGAGAGCCATTAACAAATTCCGGCTCAAAGAAATCAAGACGAATCTCATCCGAAACATGAAACAGAGAAGTCCATGACCCGCCGCCACCAACAGTGCCAAGCATGGCTCCGTCAGCGATGGCGGCCATCACTACGAGAAGAGAGTTTCAGCGGATTTCAAAAGAGGAGAGAGAAAGGAGAGAAATATCTAGGCGAATGTTTTTTCCAATGTGTATTTAATGTGAGTGTTAAATTCTACAACTTTCATTAATACTTGCCAAATTATTGAGGAAAAATTATCCAATGAGAAAGGGAGTGTCAAAAATCAAACCCCTTTAATGGTAGTCACCTATCCTACCCCGGTAGGCCAGAACCAGGCTACAGGCCTTATTAATCTCTTCAAAAGTTACATAAATAACTTAATAACAGGCCTAGTCTATTACTACGTTTTTAGGAGGTCCATTACTTGCTTTTGAGGATAAATAACACTATAAATGACTAATTATTAGCCAAACCTTTTTTCGATTCTTTTTTATTAGTCAAATCTATTGAAATGTTATTAATTCGCCAAACTTTAACTCTCCGTTAACTTTTCTGTTTGATGATGGTGAGCTATCAGACATGACGATGAGTTGCAAGGAATATTCCGACGTGGCAGTCAAAAAATGTCACATCAGCCGGTCAACCATTGATAATCTTTTCTGCATACTTCCAATTAGCCAAACCTATGGAATTACTAATAATTAGTCAAAAGTTAATTTCCAATTAGCAATTTTGTTAGTAATTTTGACTTGGCAACATGGTACTGACTTAAAAGAGACACATAGAGGTCAACATTACAAAATTTTAGTATTTTAATTCACCAAAGAAAAGAGTTACAAAATTATTAACGACAATGTAAAAAAAGACTAATATTTTGATGCATTAGAAAAATAATTGAGCAATTATTAGTAATTCAATAGGTTTGGCTAATAAAAAAGAATCAGAGAAAGGTTTAGCTAATAATTAGTGTTTACCCACATTTATTTTATTCAATGATAAGGTGGCAACTGAGTTGGATGCTGAGGTGGAGCACCATTAAGAAATAGTTAACGTTAATGGATTAATGGCTATTACTTTGACATGTTGCAAAATGTTTAGCTAATTTTTAGTATTTAGATAGATTCTTTTTTTGATGAATTGGTTGGGATTTCTATTTCATCAAAAAGTAGCAAAACTTGTTGGCAACATACTCTGCCAACCGAGCAAAGGAAACCTATAGACAAGCAATCACCTGTAAACTGCCTAACAAGCAGAACAAAACTCAAACTAAGTATAAAACTAGAAAAACTGGTCCAAACACAACGGATCCAGAAATAACCTCAAGTCACTCTTCACTCGACGGATCAGCACATTAATGTCCAGCACACCTTCTCCAAATTTCACTCTGCATCTTTCCCTCCAAGTGGTGGCAATCAAACTCTGCCAAATAACTCTCTCCACCTGAGCAACAACATTCTTCTTTTGAAAATGCAAGGATACCCATTGAAGCTTCGCCAGCCTCTGGTTCCCAGGAATAAGATCTGAATATTTAGGGAACAGAGCTGCAAACAATTTCCTGTATAATCGACATTCAACAAATAAATGAGAACGTGTTTCCAGGGCGAGAGAACAAAAAACACAGCATTGGTTGCCAACAAGCCCCCGCCCTTGAGCTTTGTCACCTGTTAGGCTGTCACTATGTAATCATTAACAATAAGCCACACCAGGAACTTGTTTCTGGGAATACAAGGTCCCCTCCAAACCAGAAAGCTCCACTGAACAAGAGCTCTTTAGGTCTGATTTCCTCCCAAACTTTCTTAATCCTGAACTTTACCATTAGATCCCCTTTCCAAGGAACTCCATCATCCTCCACAAATAGCCATTTTCTCAACTTGTCCCTACTCTTTAGCAGTTTGAGCCAAAGCCAAGAACCTGCCTTGGTAGTTAAAGTCCAAAAATCAGCCCTCTTGATTATGTATTCCCAGATCCAGGCCACCCATAAAGACCCTTCTTCCAAAAGGATAGCCCAAATATGCCTTATAACACAGGCAAAGTTCCAAGAGGCCATATCTCTCAGTCCCAGCCCACCTTCCTTCTTGGGAAAAGTGACCCTAGACCAAGCAACCACTGCCTTTTTTTTCGAGTACCATCTCCTACCCCCCACAGGAAGTCACTAAATAGTTTCTCAATAGCTCTTATAACTGCTTTTGGAAGGATAAAGATGGACATCCAGAACCTAGTAAGACTATACAGCACTGACATAACCAACTGAAATTTGCCAGCATATGTCAAAGATTTTGACTTCCAACTGGTAATTCTTCGTGTAACTTTTTCAATCAGAGGAGCACATGTTGTAATAGTTAGTTTACCTGCCAACAAAGGAAGGCCTAGGTAACGAACAGGAAGAACCCCCAACTTATACCCTGAATAACTTGCCATTGCTCACTGATCCCACCACAATATTTCGATAGATTTGGTTAATAAAAAGAATTAATTTTTTTTTTCTAATAAAGAGTCATTATCCTCTACTTTCCACCATTTCGAAAGTGCTCCCACGAGAGGGATTTTCAGCTAGTCAATGATAAGTCATAACCGAATTGGAGCAGTTTAGTGAGGTTTACACTATTTATTTAATTGATATAAAATTGGAAAAACTATTAATGAACCGGTAAAAAAAAAGACACATAATAACAAACAAAAATAATAAATCAACTAATTTTTCATTTAATGGCAACACCTGTGTCCTACCCATGACTTATTTTTCAGCCCAAACCATCAAAATACGATTTTCTTTTTAATTTTCTATTAGGCGCGCAGGCCAGAACTAGGCTACAGACCTTATTAATCTCTTCAATACTTCGATAAATAGAACAATAACAAGCCTAGTCCATTACAAGATTTTGAGGAGTTCCATTACTTGCTTTTGGGAATAAATAACACTATAGATGACTATTCATTAGTCAAATCTTTTTTCGATTTTTTTATTAGGCAAACATATTGAAATGCTATTCATTAGCCAAATGTTAACTCTCCGTTAACTTTTCTGTTTGATGATGGTGAGCTATCTGACGTGGCATTGAGTTGGAAGGAATATTTTGATGTGACTGTGAAAAATGCCACATCAGCCGATCAACCAATGATAATCTTTTCCGCATTCTTCTTATTAGCCAAACCTATTGAATTACTAATAATTAGCCGAATGTTAATTTCCAATTAGCAATTTTGTTAGTAATATTGACTTGACAACATGATACTGACCTGGAAGAGACACATGAAGGTCAACATTATAAAATTTTGTATTTTAATTTAACTAAGAAAAGAGTTATAATTATTAACGATAACGTAAAAAGGCTAATATTTTGATGCATTGCAAAAAAATTGACCAATTATTAGTATTTCAATAGGTTTGGCTAATAAAAAAAATCTGAGAAAGGTTTAGCTAATAATTAGTGTTTATCCATTTTTATTTTACTCAATGATAAGGTGGAAGGCCATTAAGAAATAGTTAACAATAACGAATTAATGGCTATTACTTTGACATGTTAAAAAATATGTAGCTAATTTTTAGTATTTCGATGGGTTTGGTTAATAAAAGAGCATCCATAAAAGTTTTGTCTAATAAATAGTCATTACCCTCTACTTTCCGCTATTTCGAAAGAGCTCCCACGAGAGGGCTTTTCAGCTAGTCAATGATAGTCAATGCTGGTAAGATCCAGTTAGTTGAATCTGTCTTATATGCCTTAGTTCACTACTGGATGGCAATATTTGTTCTCCCCAAGAAAGTGTTGAAGGATATCCAGAAGATATGTTCCAACTTCCTATGGCATGGTGATGGGGTAGGCAGAGCCAATGTTGTTTGGGAGTCAATTGCATTACCAAAAAAGAAGGGGGGCTTGGCCTAAAAGATCTAAGTACATGGAATATTGCATGTCTAGCTAGGCTAATTTGGCTGCTGCTGATTCAGGGAGGGAGTTTTTGGGTGGCCTGGTGTACTAGATATAGGCTAAGGGGACACTGCATTTGGGAGGTCAGACTCACTACTTCTGGATCTTGGATCTGGAAGCAACTATTCAAAATCAGACCTTGGCTTCAGTTCAGGATGAATCTTTAAACTGATGGAAGTGTATCTTGGTTGAGAAGAACGATGAATGTGTTCTCTGTATCGCTAATCCGGGATACTATTAGATTTAAAAGACCTGAGGTGTCTTGGTGGATGGTGATTTGGGGAAGATTCACTTCACCAGACAATCGTTTTATTGCCTGGCTGATTATTCTAGAAATAATTGCTACTCGTGATAAGCTAAGGAGCTGGGGGCTGCTAACTGATGATTCCTGCCCTCTGTGCCAAGCTGCTGTTGAATCTCGACAACATTTATTTTGTGAGTGCCCTTATACTTATGATTTTGTTGTTACTCTTCTTAAGAGAGCAGTGCATCTTCCTTTGACTTGGAACGATATGTTGGATAGCATGGTTGTGAAAGCTGTGCAGGGAGTTGGAGTTGGGCTGATTGACTGCTCAATTTGGTGCTGGTGTTTGTGTTTCATTTGGAAGGAGAGATGTCGCCGTTGTTTTGGTGAGAGACCTTCTTCCCCAGAGACTCTTGCTGAGATGTTTCTTCGTGAGATCAGTATGTATGGTTGTGGGAATGCTGACTTTCAGCAGGAAGTTAAGAAGATTCCGACTTAGAGTCAGCTATGTTAGATAGTTTCTTTACTGGTTTTCTCCTTTTGTGTTGAGTTGATATGCTGTAAGAGAGATTTGGGCGCTTAGCCTCTGTATTTTTCGATGCTTTCTGCTTATTTGCAGAAAGTTTGTGGTTAATGGAAAGTGCTAATCACCGAAAAAATTATAAATATAACCAATCTAGCGCTCTAAATCTAAATCTAACTCTACATGTATATAAATGTTAATTAATGATCCAACGACAATGGAAGATCGATTTCTTACAAGATCACTTCGGTGAGGTAGATCGAACTAGAATCCTCCAAATCTCAATCCCTAGACAACCATATATTGATAAAAGGGTTTGGGGTTTGGAGGAGAAAGATTCTTACACAATAAGATCAGCCTACAAAAGGTGGAAAGAAAGACAACATGAAGGGATTGGGGAGCTATATGTGCCAATGAACTGGAAACAGATTTGGAAACTGGATATACCACCTAAAGTAAGGGTTTTTGCGTGGAGATGGAT